GAAACATTCAGGATATATCAAAAATACTTTGTGTCTCACACAAGCTCTACACTTACAATCCTACGGTAAACGGCTTAAAAGCCAAGACATAGAAGAACCCCGAATACTAGGGAACTACTATCAAAATTCGAATTAATAAAGACCTCAAAGAGGCACCCCTTCGAAACGGCTCAAAAGCCAAGACATAGAAGCACCCCGAATACTCGGGGACTACCATCAAAATTCGAATTAGTAAAGACCTCAAAGAGGCACCCCTTCGAAACAAAGTCCAAGGCCAATATTCTCAGGGTTTAACTTCTCGAACAAGTTCGGAAAGTTATCGGGTAACAATTCCAAGTGACATACCCAAAGGCTACGGCCATAATAAAGACTACAGTTATAAAGGCTACAGCCAAATAATGCGGCTCGAAGACGTTTGACCTCCGCTATTAATTAAAAGGCCTTCAAACACTTCATAAAAACCGGCTAAATCAGGCTACCCTCGGCAAAAGCTAAATACAAAGGGCTTCGATAAATTCAGCCCTCGAAAATTCCAAGGGTTTCGATAACATCGACCCTTAGAAACACCTCAAGAGATGTTCGGTCATGTTTACACAAACAAATCATTAATAAGGTTCCGATACGAAAACCTACGGGTACAAAAAACACATGCTAAGGCATAATTAAATTTTCACTGAGTCTTTTAAGCCAAAATGAGGGAAAAATTATATAGCCATACCAAGAGGCCGAATCGGCCAAACTTAAAGAGACTAAGGGCCGAGATATAAGAGCCTAAGGGCCAATCTTAAAAGAGCCTAAGGGCCGAGATATAAGAGCCTAAGGGCCAATCTTAATAGAGCCTAAGGGCCGATGTATAAGAGCCCAAGAGCCAACTTCGAAAAGCTTGAGAGCCAAAAACTTATAGCTTGAGACTCCGATCCGAACTCAAGGATTCACAATATCCCGAGCTTACCTTATCAATTTAAAAACTTAGCTTGAAGATTGTTATATTTATCGATAAAAATCTAAGGGTTTATGACACCCCGAGCCCTAAAAACCAATCCTCGGATTGATCATTCAAACGAAGTCTTCCATAAATAAAGACAATGTTAAATCCAGCTCAAACCAAATACAAGACAAAAGTTCCCCTTGTATTTCCAAAAGATGATTACAGGGAATATTTACACAAGGGAGGTCTACAAGAAAGGAAAATGGAGTAACCTAAAACTACTTCGGGATCACATCCTTAGCAGCTGCATCTTCAGGAGTTGCATCTCGGGGAGTCTCATCCTCGGCGGCTTCATCCCCGTCTCCTTCACCCTCGGAGGCACTGCCTGAATCATCCTCTTCGGAAAGTAGAGCGGCCGCCTCTTCTTCCAAAACCTTCTCCGCTTCAATATCGGCTGAAAGATCGAAGCTGCGAGCATGTATCTCCTCGAGAATCATCATCCGGGATTGTCGCCTAGCATGGTCTAGGGCACGTGCTAACTTAGCCTCCGCCGTAGAAGAAATCTTCCTTGCCCGGGCATTAGCAGCTTCTGCGTCAGCTCGATAAGAGGCCGTAATGGTCGTAGCATCAGATTTGGCCTTGGCCAGCTCAGCAGCAGATCGGGTTTTAAGCTCCTCGATTTCATGGCCCCGAGCTAGGCTCTCCCCCTTCGCGCCTTGAAGCTGGCGTTCGAGCGAAGCTAACTGCTCTTTCAAAGTGTCCTTCTCAGAAGAAAGATCATCCATACCTCGCCTCAACCTCAGGGCATTGGCTTCTTTTATCTTAAGTTTCTCCTGAAGCTGCGCCTCCACATCGGCTTTCTGACTGAACTGCGAAATTTAACGATGTCAGCCACTATAACAAAACAAGTGCGTGACAAACTCTCAGGAACTATCTTACCTTCTCAACATACTCAGCTCAATCTTGGCACACCCGCGTCAACTCAGCTCGAAGATTATGAATCTCCAATGCTTTCTTTGTATATAAGGCTTTTACGGCGTCCCTCTCCTCTAAAGTTTTCTTAAGCTCGGCCTCGCACCGAGCAAGATCGTCTCGGGACTTGGAAAATGCCCTCTTTTGGAGCGACATAGCCTTCATGAACAAGAAGGAAAGTCAGATCCGGAACAGTTAAAACAAAGGCGCAATAAACAAAAGACTCGTTTATTCAAAGAGTCTACGTACCTCATTAAAAATGAAAGAAGCATCAGGGTCGGGGCCGTCATCAACCCTTCGAGACATTCTCGAAAGATGTCGTGCCCTTCTTGGTTTACTCCCACTCCAGAGGATATCTTGTTCGTAGCCTCCCGGATCAGCCCCTCGGAGAACTCGGGGCCAAGGGGAGAATCATCCACGTTGATCACCCCGAGCGATCCGCTCGGGGCATTTTCTTTTATCTAAAGAGGCTCGGGGTCAGGATGTTCGACCTCGCCCTCATAATGATCTCCTAAATAAGGCGCCTTCTTTCTGGATGATCGTCCGGGGACCTTGTTTGAATTCCCTTGGGAGATTTCTTCAGCTCTGGAGTAGGCCTCATTAGCTGCTGCTGGTACGGTGGGCTTTGAAGTATCAACATTTTTCTTTTACGGTTTACCAACAGGCAATCGTCATCTTCTTCTTCCTCCTGTTCCCGAAGGCGTTGGGCCGTTTCCGGGGATAAGGTCGCCGTAACGGCTTTAGGCCTTCGAGCCACGCTCTTCTTTGGCTTCGGGGGATTTTTAGATATCTCTCTTCTGCTTTTTCTTTCTTTGGACCAGCTGGGGCCGACCTCAATTCAACGGCGTCCCCAAGACCTTCGTAAAATCAAGATCAGTGTCCCATAACAGAAATACTGAAAAACAAACGAAGAACTCACCATGGTTTTTTGCCTCCCATCGACCCTTGGCCAAATCTTGCCAATAACGCTCCGAGTAAGGGGAGGCGAAGGCCAGCTTTCGACCCAGCCCTCGAGGTCCGTGACCCCACCAGGAAACCAAGCAGCAGCTACACCATCGCAAAGAATTTAGGTCAAAGGAAAATATAAAGTCGGGAGAAGAAAAGGAAGCAGGGTATACTCACGCTTCATGTTCCACTCCTCGGGGAACGACATCCAATCAACAGGAATGAGATCGGATGTTTGGACTTGGAGAAACCGGCTCATCCACCCACGGTCTTTGTCCTCATCAGAGATTTTAAGGATCGGTGTTGCAACTTTATCAAGCCCCCCCCCCCCCCCCCCCCGATAAATTTGAGGACTATACAATCTGATCAAATGATCGAGGGTAAAGGACATCCCCTCGATTTGGTTCGAAAAGAACCTGAATAAGTAAACAATTCGCCAGAAGGAAGGGTAGATTTGGCCGAGCGTCACTCGGAACTGTTGGCAAAAGCCGAGGACAACAGGGTCTATGGGACCCTGGGTCGGAATTGCAGGGCCCAATGTAAATGGGTAAGTATACACGCTCAAGTACCCAGCTTTATATATGGTTATATCTTCCTTAGAGGAAGGAATCACTATATTTTTATTATCCCATTCGCAATCCTCTTTTACTTGATCAAGCTCGGTCTTGGTCACCAAACAAATATATCGAGACATAGGCTCGCATCGGCCCCGCGTGGAAACAGGTTTTTCGATTTTGAAATCGGATGTTATCTCACACGGCGGGGGAATGCATTCCTCGATTCGAGGTGGCACTATCATTTTACTCTTGGTCGATTGAGAATATGAAGGAGCTTTTTCCTTTTGAGGAACAGATTTAGATGTTTTAGCCATCTCTAAGCAGCGAAAGATCCGAGAAGATGGAAAATGTTGCTAGAAAAGAGAAAGGAGAGACCAAGGAGATTGAAAAAGGCTAAATGAGTCCAGGTAACCACCTTCCTTGAATTATGGATCCATTATGAGCATTAACTGAACTCGTTTGGTATTTTTCGAAGATTTATAACTGCTGAGTCAATGCTAAAATTTCGTATTTTTCGAAGACTTATAACTGCTGAATCAATGCTGAAATTTCGTGACTGCTGGGTTAATTCCGTAACGGATAGTTTAATTCATGTGTTAATTTTGTAATTAATGAGTTAACTCCATTATTGTCGGACGGTTGATCTTCTTGTCCGGAGCTAAAGATTTCCCGGGTACCCAATAACCTTCATGATGGTTATTTCCGGGATAACACCACTTGATTCCAATTCCAACAACTCAATTGTATTTTTTAGCCGACCTTTCGGTTTGGCCTGGAGCTGATTAGGATATACTTGTCACGTGTCCTTTACGAGGTGGGTCACATATTGGGTCATGTTTTACCAATACAGTTATAAGAGCTGCCGTTGAATCCTCGTTCCTATAAAAACATTTGGGGCGATGATCTTTTTGTTTTTTAAATGCATTTTCCTCATCCAACAGTTCCACATGCAATACCAAGCTGCCACATATGAGGCTAAGTCTAATAAATCATTGCTGCAATCGATAATTTCTTCGATACAAATCAAATTTTATTAGCTCGAAAGACAATCCATGTCAGTTGATTCATGTGCCCTCAATTTAAATAACAAAATGATAAGGTTATTCTACTTTATACCTGAAAAGAAGACAAACAAAAGGAATATCACTTTCTTCTATTTTGTTCGTTCAACTTTGTGAATAACGTGTATAGGTCAAACAATATAGCAAGCCACGTCAATACCATGATAGTCTTTATCGACCGTCACGTACTATCAGTAAGGTCTCAACAAAGATCTTCCCCAAGTCGAAGTAGCCTCGAAGTGACGAAGGGTGCGGTCAAAGAGTCAGCAAAGATCAAGGTCGTGAAGTTATCATAGATCAAGGGCGAGATCGAGCATCTAGACAAAGGTATAACGGCTAGTTTTAAGATATGACACAAAAGAGAATATTCTAGTGGATATTCTCTACACCTGTACTATTAGGATTTCTAGGAACATGTTCCCTAAAGAGACATATTGATAGGGTGTTATGAACGAGATTGGCTAAAAGACTAAGGTAAAGGGCTTGTTTGAAATATTAGAAAACTCTGTGTGGGACCCAGCGAAAGGAAAGCAGTCGAGCTATTAAAAAGAGAATTAGGTGCTGCAAAAGGGATATACAAATTATATTGAAGCTTTGGCTCAAGACTGTGCTTCTATCTACTCTTATGAATCTGTACCTCGTTCCTTCTCTGAGTTCTGCTTCTCATCCCTATCCTTAATTACTTAGTTTCCATTATAGTAGTTTGAGTGTTGCAATTGATATCTCAAGGTTGTAGTCAGTGTTCCAATTCTTATTATATAGTGAGGAATTTCGGGTTTGTTACATTGGTGCTTTCATCCATCGACTCCAACAGCGACGATGTTTCTACCTAGATTCAGTAGCGACGACAACCCGGATAGCTGGATTTTTCGGGCCGAGTTGTACTTCACATACCTTGGCTTCTCCAAGAAGGACTGGCTGCCTCTTCCTTCCGTCTATCTAGAAGGTGATGCCCTATCATGGTTCGATTGGTTATTTTGCAACAACTAATTTTATGATTGGAACTATTTCAAAGAGAAATTTCTTCTGCATTTTCAGAAACGGCCCTTCATTGATTCGTCGAGAGTGGAAGTTACTTCACAAGCTTGTGTTGACTACCTGAATTGCGCTACACTGGTTCCACCAGTGATCTCTAAGTCTACCTCTACTCAATTCCCCAAAATTCATGAACCCTAAGCTCGTCTACTTGAAGAAGACAAGAATGTGACTGTCATAGACGAGGTGTTTGATGAAAATCCCCAAAGTAATGAACTGATATGCATTCTGAGTTTTCAAAGGATGAAGCTCAGTTAGTTCCTCTTGTTGGCCGAGACTATTTCGTGCCTAAAGAGATGGAACAATTTGAGATTTTTTCAATAGAATCTGAGGAACTTTTAGATGCAATGAAGACAAACTCTGATTTAGACGATGGTAAATCAAAGGAAGACCACCGAGACTGCACTAAGGTGGAGGAAAATTCAAGCAACTCTGCAGATCAGGTGTTTGCTACAAGTCCTCAACGAGATACCACCACACAGCTCCATCACATTGCAACTATAATTTTGGATCCTTTCTCTAGCTTGATCCCAGGTGATAAGTTTCCTATTGGTCGAATACTTGTTGTGCCTGTTAGTATCAATTTGGACGATTGTCATATACTTGGTACTTGTTATTGCTGTCAACCGAGGGCTTGTGCATCTCTCGACTATGTTTCTGGATCACCTATAGGGACTATTCCATTTTATAGTTGCGTGGAAAATTGGTTCGACACAGGGCAAGATTTTAAGGGTGATTCATGTGTATTTTTATCTGTTGAATTTGAAGATTTAACACAAATTGAGGGATTTCTTCCACTTATCACCACAACAGATTTAGACGGTGAATGTGCCTAGATTGTAGAGTTTTCTCCTTGCTCATTAGATCAACCATCTGTGCCCTTATCACCACAACAGATTTAGACGGTGAATGTGCCTAGATTGTAGAGTTTTCTCCTTGCTCATTAGATCAACCATCTGTGCCCTTACTGCCTGCTGGTTTTCAGAATGTCGCGACACCATAAGAGCTTGAAATATTGAGTGGTATTCTATGGATGCCAAGCTTCGGGAGGTGCACAAATTTAGGTAGTGCCGCATGAACATCTGGAAGGAGATATGCCGACGAGGTATATAGATGCCTCCTCTGTTGATAGCAGACCTCCTAAATGGATAATTGAATTGGCGATCTTTGGAGACATGTATCTTGCTGAATTTTTTATGGACCCTATAATTTTTGAAGATCAATATCTTGATAATTTTGTTATAGAGAGAGAGGGTGCCATTTTGACTTATGCAAGGCATTCTATTAAAGTACTTCTTGAAGATGTGAATGGAAGTTCTGTTGGGGATTCAATGATAAACGTATTTTGAGTCATTTTCCATATGTTCGTGGTGCTAATTTCTTTATAGAACCCGTTCACATGACGACGCCGACTCTTAATGTATGGGATCCTTAATAAGTTTTGAGTTCTTGGCTCTAACAGATTCTATAGAGTATGTGGCGGTCTTCCTATTACTGGAATGTACTAGCAGGTTGTGCTTCATTGCATATTCTAACTCTAAGACTAGAGTGTGGGATCCCGGACAATCATGGTTTGTGAATTTCTACAATTTGCAATCTGATTTGGCGCCGTCAATTACCAGTTTACCAAATTTTACTCACTTGTATATTGCTGATTGGATTTTTCTGAGGACTCTAGCACCTCTGGCCATTGCTTTACCTCGTAGCTATTCTTATGGTGACACAAACCAAAGTTTTCTTTCTGTTCGCCGAAGATAGTCTTAATCCTTCTTGTAACTAATTCCTTTGGCGAATTGATATTTGCGGTTGACATTGAGTTGTTAAGATAAATTAATTGCAAAAGTACACAAGTTGCTATAATTTAGGACATGCTTGCACTAGGTCCAACAGAATTTACATTCAGTGAGTTGCTATTACAGTTTTGCTGTGACGCCCATTTTAATGTACTTGCACTTGGTGGAACGAGGTTTCTCACTGTAGCCAAGAATATATACCGTGCAGGGGAGATCAAGCTGGTTTGCATTAATGATGCTTATTGCATGACTTTTGAAATTATTAATTATGTAATTCGAGTTGATGTTATCCTTGACAATGACAGTAGTCAAAGGAAATTGGGATTGATTTTGGACCTTGTCAACCTTATTTTCCCTACAACACTATGTTGTGTAATGGTTAGCAAGAATGCGTCAACCGAATCATCTTCATTGAGTATGGAATGCTGGAAAATAAGGTTAATATATGCACCTATTCTTGGGAGTACTTATATGTCAAATGTCTGCCAGGCTGCTCTATAACCCAATAATTTCTTGATCTCCAATATGTTATTGATGATGATGGAAAGTGCTATGATCCTTTATGGGCAACGAATCTATTAAAGAACCCCAAGATCATTATGCTTATTGAGTCCACCATTGCTCTTGCTACTAGTTTGCATAGAATTGTCCAGGAAACTCAAGTCAAGTATGACCCTCTCCATGGCAAGATGCCAGCTTGCTGCCTGATGGTTATCAATGTTGCGTTGGCCACCATCTCATGTCACCGTGACTCAGTGATGATAGATCACATCTTTTCTTATCACAAAGACTACCTTCGTATAGACACAATAGGCGAAAGAAGTGTTACTAACATTGTTCTTAACCCGAACCTTGAGGACAAGGTTCTTAAGGAGTATTATTATGAACGAGATTGGCCAAAAGACTAAGGTAGGGCTTCTTTGAAATATTAGAAAACTTTGTGTGGTACCCAGGGAAAGGGAGAGCAGTCGAGATATTAAAGAGAGAATTAGGTGCTGCAAAAGGGATATACCAATTATGTTGAAGCTTTGGCTCAAGACTGTGCTTCTCATCCTTTCTTCTGAATCTGTACCTCATCCCCTTTATCTGAGTTCTGCTTCTCATCTCCATTCTTATCTCTATCCTTAGTTACTTAGTTTCCATTATAGTAGTTTGAGTTTTGCATTTGATATCTCAAGGTTGTAGTCAGTGTTCCAGTTCTTATTATACAGTGAGAAATTTCGGGTTTGTTACATAGGGGACATGAGATATTCATTTGCAAAAAACACATTGAATTTATAAAGAGAATCTGGCATTATTACAAGCATACAAAAACAAGCTTTTTACTAAGATTCTTGTCTACCTTTTCCACTGGATCGAAAAACAACCTGAATGTTCAAAGGCTCATCAATCATTCATCATTGTCAAAGAATATCCACAGATCCCATCGTTTTTCGTGTGACTCACACATTTTTATCTACTTAAATATCATTCATTGCTATTTATTACTATTTAATGCTATCTTCCATCTTTTTGGATCACTGAACATCATTATTTTTGCTCACATTCGTTACATTCGGTCAAATATATATGTTATTTGTCATAAAACCGACAACCTTATCTTTAGGATATTAATATTAGCTAAGATTGACTCTTCTTTATTTAAATCTAATTGGTTGAACCAAGATCTATATTTTTGGTCAAACATAAAGAAGTGGCTGGATCTCGAAGTACTGGCATCTCTATTTGCGTTATCTCTGAGATTTAAGAAAGTTGATTAGAGAAAGTGATGAACAAGGGTAAAAGTTCGGATTTTTGAGGGGCAAATGTCCTATCCTTGCTATTTGAATCCTTATTGCTACGTGAGGCCTTAGCAGCTTATAAGCCGTCAGTTTATAAATGGTTCGCAATCCTTTACTTCACAATTAGCTTTTGAGGTTGAAGTTAAACACCCATGACTATATATGTTGAACTTGGACTAATGAGGTTGATGAGATCGGAACAAGGGTGGTTTATTCGTCATAAATCGTGTCATTGTCTTCTTTTCCTACAAAAATTAAACGAAAAAGTATGCCACCTTAAACATTTTTATAAAGTAAAAGAAAAGTCGTTGTAAAAAATGTATACGATGAAAAGCTGTCAAAATTATTTTAAGTGTTTTCTGTCAAAAAATAAAAGTTAGTAACCTATAGCAGCAACAAAAGGTAGTGATAGGTTATGTGTCCTGTTATGTTTTGATGATCTAACAACCTTAATAATAAGAGTTAGATGGGGAACCTATTCCACATCCTCAAAGTACTCAAGATCAACAAGCCTCAAGTCTGGTACATGTTCCAACACTCAGAGTCAAAGAAACAACAGAGGGAACAGATGTACATCAGTTCCCTTGCTGATTGTACCAGTTAACTTCCCACAGCTGTAAAGTCACTGCAACTGTTCCTCTGCACACACGCAACAATGCAAAAAATGCAGCAGTCACTTTATGGGGAATGCCCTTGTACCAAACATGCTTACATCATTCAAGTGATATCTCTTGTGTAATATCAACATGAAGAAAAGGGAAAACAAGGCACTTTCACATTCCAGAATTTATCAAGCTTTCTCACAAGTGTGTTGCCAACTTGCAAGTGACTTTCAGGGCTTCAAGAACAGAGAACAACACAACGAAGGACCAGTTTCCTGCACTAAGTTATTTCATGTCCTTATTTATGTTGTACCTTTGTTAAAGTAATTTACTTGTAATTCCTACTTAGCTTAGTGATAAGTGGGGATTTTAACCTATTATCTGCTTTCTTTTACTTGCGTTTTGGGCTTGAAATGCGTAAAGATAATCCCAGAAACTGATGTAGTATGCTCTCTTGCAGAGATTGTTCACAATGAGACAAAGTAGCCATGATCAACTCATAAAGGAGTCAAACTTGAACAAAGACCAAGACTGGCCAAGGGCTGTGGAACGCGGATCGCGACAGAAAAGCGCGGCCGCGAAAGAGTCAACGAGGACGTGATCTGCGAAATGGAGAATCAGAGAGGTTTGTTTTTGCCACAAATATGAACGCGGACCGAATCAGAAAGAGGCGGCCGCGAAAATACCACTGCGACTGCGATTGGAATTCCGCTGACCGCGGTTTCCAAGATTCAGAGAGTTCACAAGTGATCCAAAAGTGAGAAGGGCAGTCCGTGTTTAAATTACGCAGCCGCGGAAGTCTCTCACGCGAACGCGGTGGAAAGTACGCAGTCCGCGAAACAAGGTTCAACCCAGACCTAGATGTGAAGAAACGCAGACCGCAATTAGAATTACGCGGCCGCGAAAGCAAGAGTGTGGCCGCGGTCAGAATTACGAGGCTGCGAAACCTCCGCAGAGGCATTTTTGTTCGGAAATTTTAGCTTAGTATAAATAGATCTTTTTTACATTTTTAGGTTAAGTTTTGTTTTTGCTGAGCACGTGAGACGGCTGGATATTCTATTTTGGGCAATTTTGTTTTAGATTCATCTCTTAGTATTAGCTTTTCATATTTTAATCTAGTATTATGGATTTTATCTTTATTTCATCTTTGATTTCTGCTATTTTTATGAGTAGCTAAACCCATAACTAAGCTAGTGTGGGTATTTGATGGGTCTTGAATTTTAGGGCTTGAATGTGTATGGGTTAGTAGTATTTAGCCTAGTTCTTGCTTGAGCTATGGAATTAGTGGTTGCAAACACTGATTCATGCCTTTATGACTTAGTCTCAACTTGAGAAAGAGGGACTACTTCTAGGAAAACTAGGCTAACAAGGAATTGGGGTAAACTCAAGAAATTGATAGCCCCATTTAAAGGGTTAAACCTAGCGATAGTAATACCCGACTTGAACTAACATCACTTGTATTGCATGAATACCCATTTGGACTTGAGAAAGACAAATTTGGCAAAATCACTCAAACTACCGAGAGGTATAAAGTGAGTACCCGGGTGTGATAATTATACTACGACCCCAATTAATTACATGATTGCCCTAGGTTCTTGCTACCTGTTAGATATCCACCTAGGTGGAAGTTACTACCCTAGTCCCTTTAAACCCTTGAAAATCAACATCAAAAATATTGTACTTAGTTTTAACTATTGCATGTTATAGAATAGAAGTGGAAGTAGAAAACAAACCAACCATGTGTGGAGTGTAATTAAGAGCAAAACCCACATCTAGACTCGGATATAAATCTAACTCCAAGCAAATTAACTCCCTATGGATTCGATCTCGACCTTGTTGGGTAAAACTGCATCGACCATCCTCGCTACTCAATAGTAGTGCAGGCTAGGACCCGATCACTTAGCTAGAAGCATTGTGTAGGAAACCTTTGTAAAATCATAAACCTTGTGTTTGTGTCTTGACTAGAGTTAGTCGAATTGTGAGCTTTGTAATATAGTTATTACAAAGAGGCTTGTAATAGAGTTATTATAAGTTAGTGAGGGATTAAGAGTTTAAATCCTAGGTTACAATAGGTTGTAATCTGATAACCTGAAGTTGCTCGGTTAGTGAAGTTGAAATCCTACGATTGTAGGTCGTGGTTTTTAATCCCGTGAGCTGGGAGTTTTTCACGTAAAACTCTGATGTGTCATTTACTTACTCTGTGTGTATGTGTGTTCTGTGGGAACTAATAGAGAACCAGGTTCTCTATATAGTTTGGTGGACCCTTAGTTTCTATAACTGGTATCAAAATAGGCTCTTTCTATCATGCTAACACCTAGAAAGGATCCTCATGGCTGCTCCACCAAACTTTGAAGAAGGTCAATCTACCTACAGACCACCAAGATTCAATGGCCAATAATACGGATGGTGGAAGACAAGGATGCATGATTTTATCATGGCTGAAGATTCAGAGCCCTCGAATGTTATCTGTGATGGCCTTTTCGTTCCTATGAAGACCATTGGTGAACCAGCAGTGACAGTTCCCAAGAAAAGGAAGGAGTACAACGATGATGACCGCAAGGCTATTGAGAAGAACTTTCGAGCAAAAAAAATCCTCGTCTGTGGTATTAGACTAGACGAATACAACAGGATTTCTGCCTGTCAATCTGCCAAGGAGATCTAGGAAGCTCTCCAAACAACACACGAAGGGACAACTCAAGTCAAGCAGTCGAAGATTGATATGCTAACCACTGAGTATAAACTCTTCAAGATGAAGGATGATGAGTCCATTCAAGACATGCATACTCGCTTCACCTCTATCATCAATGAGATTCATTCGTTGGAAGAGATCATTCCGTAGAACAAACTTGTCAGGAAAATACTTAGTGTATTACCTGGTTCCTGGGAAAGCAAAGTATATGTTATCACGGAGTCAAAGGATCTACAAAAGATGACCATTGATGAACTCATTGGTAATCTGAAAACTTATGAAATTAAGAAGAAGAAGGATCATGAGAGAATAGAGCCCAAAAGGGAGAAGAACATGTTCCTCAAGACAGAAAACAATGACTCAAGTGGTGAGGATGCTGATATAGCTTACCTGACAAAGAGATTTCAGAAAATGGTTCGCAGAAATGGAGGTATGCCAAAAAGGGGCAGCTCGAGCAAGCCAAGAGGGTATGACTTATGTCATAAATGCGAGAAGCCAAGACATTTGATCAAGGATTATCTTCTCCACAAGCAAGACCAGCACAAGCACAACACAGACAAAGCAACCAAGAGGAACCCGGTTCCTAACAAAAGATTCAAGAGAAAAGATGTTGCTGACAATACTGTGAAACAAGCTCTTGCTGCATGGGGGGACTCTTCTAGCGAATCTGGAGAAGATAATGAGCAAGGCGACAGCTCCATGATGGCAGTAGAAAGTGCAGCTGAGTATGACTCTATCTTTGCCCTGATGGCAAAATCTGATGATAATGATGATGAGGTAAACTTTCTGGATGTTCAAAGAAATTTGAAGTCTTACTTTCAAAAGAAGCTTATATCCATGGAAAATGTTCTAATTCATACATATCACAATCTCATCAATGATAAAAATGTGCTAACTGTGGAACTAGGAGAAATAGCACCTGAGAGAGACGATCTAGTAGTTGTAGTGGTCGATTTAATGGAAACTATTGAGACTCAAAAGGGAAAGAAGACATTGAAGTACTCAAAAGGGAAAGGAAGTTGCAAGTGAGGCACACCTTAGGCTGAAAATAATTTAAAATCAGTGAAATATAGTTTGTGTACTAAACTTGAGAGAAACAGACAACTTCAGGAAGATCTAGGCAGAGTTAAGAATGATCTAGAAATATTCCTTAAGTGAAC